TCTTTTTGTTATGCTGTGGAAGGTTTCCGAAGCTGTCGGTCCCTAACTCGTTGAAGAGCCTTAGGGGCTGATGGGTTCCTCTGACGAATAGGCGGAACGGACCATACTGCTTCTTTATCTTCTTGACCCCTTTTTTCTCCGTTGTCTAGATGGAACTATTTATGGCTCAGTGTTCCAGACATCTCGTCGTATTGAAGAGTTTGAAGGTCCAGTTAACTTGGATGCAACGTACCCCATTAAAGTCCCCCTGAGTTACGCTCGTTGCAACACTTTTCAGGAATTTGGGAGAAAAAAAAAGATCTCTGTGTCTCTAGTGATAGCCTGGTGAATTCGCAAGCTATCTAAGCGCCATGTGCTTCGGGTGATGCCATTCTGCAGTTCTGCGTCACCCCTACACTAGCCTATAGTTTTGGAAGCAAAGGGAATTCCGGTAGAAGTGAATCACTAATGTTTGTGGGAACTTGGATGTGCAACGTGGCACACTCATCACGAAACTTTCTTACCCCTCCTGAACCCTCTCAGAATCACAGGCTACTGGAGCGCCCACCCATACTGCAGTGGCCCCTCCTGAGGTACATAGCACGAACTTCCGTGCCATTCAGACCGAAAACTGGCATACGGATTTTTCATATTAGCATAGTGACCAAATTTTAGCCACGGTCGCAGTGTTTCATCTTCGGAAATGCCTGGAGTGACAGAGTTAACGCAACGTTTCGAGCGAGGATCCCGTAGTGACAGCACCGATACTGTACGTACTGGTCAAAAACCACCCCAACGAGTTGTGGTCGTGTCGAAACCAGGTCCAGGTATGTATTTAATGCAATTGCAGTTCTGCTCTTGCAGCTCACTCTTATCAATATAAAACGTTTGAAGATAGCAATTTTTCATAGTGCTGCTCACACCTCCTGCATGGTAGTTTCCTTCCTCCCTCTGTGCCCTTTGAAGGTACTCACGTGCATGGCGTACTCCAGCAAGCCAGCCAGAACAATGTGACTTTTATTGGGTCCTTGTGAGAATTTCGGATGTCCGGGCCGCCTTTAGTCATCATTTCCTTCTGTAGATCTTTCTTCCATCGGTACATACCTCCCGTACCGTACACTTCGTTGAAGAGTGGGCGGGGACGTGCGTTGTAAAGAGCAGGGTACGTCCAGCCACAGGGAATTTTTTAGCAGAATACGACTCATTCCCACAAACTTCTCTCCTTTGGGCGTGCAAGCCCCTTATCCTGCCTGTCACCTTCTTAACTTTTCTAGTTTTCTCCAGCTTCCAGCGACTTCGTAGTTTTTTTTTTCAAAACTTCGCAAATTCCTCGGCTTTTGAAAAAACTGTCGTCACCACGACAGCCTTTTCTTCAAACGATGCGGGAAAGGGGAGGGGAGGGATGGAACCGAGTGAAATGAACAGTGAAAAGCCTTTCCCTCTAAGGCTTATGCGACATCCCCCCCTCTTCGCTGGTATCTCCAACGTACGAGGTGCTCTTATCAAGAGTTTAATGGCTTTCGGAAGCGCCGTTTTTTCCGGTTCAGCCAAGAAATCAGGATCTCATCAGCACGTAAGAGGCCTAGCGGTCTATCAGTATTCTAATGGTTACAGTATCCATTCGTTGTTTTCGCCCTAAACAAAGAGGGCAGTGTTAATGGCCAATCGCTTCTCGATCATGAACTTCCTCAAAGTAAGTAATGTAATATCACTCTTTCACCTTTCTTAGTGGGACTAGTACCTTCAGAGGGAGGGTTCTCCGTGCATAATCAGAAGCACAATGGAGCCAAGAACTAACAGATAAACCGAAGGGGGGGGGGGAGGGAGAAGGGCGGAGGCGGGCGAAGGGACTGCGGGCGAGCTGCTGGGAACCTATTCTGAGTCCGGTAATTGTTTCTGGAGGGCGACAATCTCAATTCTGCTGGGGGGCTCTTCTGTATGCCCTCTCCAAGGTTATTAGCACAATTTTAGTTGTTCTTCGTGGGCGATTTTTCAAATTAAGGCCCATTTTTCTCATTCTCCGGGTCTCGCACCTCTTGAGGCTTTTCGCTTTCCAGAGTTCGTCTATTCATCTGCTGATGATTCGCGAGTGCATCGCATCGACCGTCCGACGTACTCACCATCGGATCAGAAGTCCGTTCTGTCAACAACTGTCGTTGACATAGAACCACCAACCTATCGTGCTCCAGCTCCCCAGTATGTTGAAGAAAGATATCAGGTAGGCCTCCCCACAATCGCCTATAGGGCTAATAAAACGAACTTGCATTTTAGCTAGAGGAGCAGTACCGTTCCGTGAAATCGTATAGCTCACCAACGAAAAAGGAGCCTCCATACAAACCAAGAGAAGTTATCATTCCAACGGAAAAGAAATCATCTAGGGTGCATTTCATTCAAACAGTCTAGAAGAAATACGTTTTCATAGAAATATTACAGGAAACGTTCACTGGTCATACGGTATTTTCTTCTCGAGACCAACAACGTGAGCAAGAACTTGATGAGACACGGGGCTCCACACCTGTACGAAGTGTCGTCGAACAGTTTGAAAGTAAAATTGAAGGTATGTTCCACACGGTGACCATTAGATATCAGCCATTTCTATTGATTGAGTGTAGATCAAATCTGAAGCATGACACGTAACATTTTTGAATTTGCAGAAGGACGCAGCACTCCGGATAGACGGCCTTACCAATACCAAGAAAAATTCGAGGAGATGAGCGTTCACGAGCATCGAGGACCACAACCGGATCAACGCGAAAGGGTAAGCACGGTAGAAAAGAAAGATTTCGCAGTCCGAAGATGCGCTGCTACCGTATTCCGTGCGCTTATTCAGTTTCCTAAGTTTGAGGTACTTTTATTCCTGCGCTATACTTCCTCCGGCACTGCCTGCACTTTTTACCACTGTGACTACATCGGTTACTGAGCAAGGCGCGCTTGGCGAGCGGCTCGAACCCAGGGAGGGAAGTGAGATGCTGGCGACCTGGGCTACGGTAGCAGTGAAATATCTCTTCACGTCTACATTCTACACGTTCTACACGTTAGCCAGTCGATTGTTCAACAGGTCTAAGCTCGGAAAGACGGGTTCACCTGCTCCTTTCAGCTGCTGAATAATATGTTGATTCGTTTAGCGACTTCCAAGTTTAGTTATCGTGTAGCCTCACACGGGTATATTCTGATAGTTTCTTGGCCCAAGAA